TTGCTCTGATACGTAACACTCGGGAGGATGAACGCTTGTTGTTTTATTGTTGTTATTATTTCAGTTTATTGAACTTTAAGTTGTTGATCGTTAAATAATTGTTATTTGAAGTTGTTTCAGTTGGATGAAGATGATATATTCTTTTAAGTTGAATATTTGATTCCGCTGCGTAGTCATGAAAGTTGTTGGTTTTAAAAGATTAATTTATGTTGTTGTTGGTTCATCCAAGTTTAATGTGTTATGTATCTGTAATGAATGCCGTTGTTTTAAGTTGAGATTGTAGCATCCTGATTCGGTTGTCGAAAGTTTATAACTCTGATTCTTATAATAATTGTTGGGTAGAATTGGGGTGTTACAATATGAGTGAATGCATGGTTCATTTTTTATTTCCAGGGAAACCTAAAGAATTGTCTCTCCATAAGTATTCCTTTGGTAACAACATTCATCTTTTTGAAAAGCTCAACAAAAAGACTTGTCTTTGGAATTCCCTAAAAATGGGATGCATATACATAATGATATGATGTCATGGTATGCAACGACATGAAATCAAGGCTCCATGGAATTTGAGTAACCAATGTGAAATCCTCTGAATAAATATTGTACAATCTTCTGAGTAACTGTTGTACAACAGGCTAAACATAACAGGATCAAAAGTTTGGAACCATTATGAATACAACAGCACAGGGTAGGATGATGGTCTAGGTTTCCATAAAAACAAATCCCTTATCCCTCTCACATGTGGGTTCTAGTCTTGAAGGTGGTTCCTAAAGGTCTTCAGAGTCGTAAGTCCACGTGGAAACATATCATCATAACATAGGTACGTATGATGATAGTATCCCCAAATGAACCTCGTCTGAGTGTGGTTCTTCATGATTACAATAGTAGGGCCTACACGCCATAGGTGTCATAACTATCCACTCTAGTCCTATGTGTAAAACGCAGGCCTGTGTATTGGAATTATCTCTCAAAGTAACACCCATCCCACACTACAGCAATATCCAGAATAATGGAAAGCAATCATATGTAATGTATGCAATAAATAAACAACAGATAAATCATAAAGATAAACACCCAATGAAAATAAAACAAACAAGAGCTAGGACTGACCAACATGTTAATTTCCCCAGCAAAGTCGCCAGCTATCGCACCGCGAAAAAAACACATAGTCACCGCCGAACTTTATTTATCTTAGAGAGAAGGAAAAATATCGAGAAAACCCAAAGAAGAATGATAAGATTGTCTCTCAACCAAGAGAATGGTAGAGAAGTCGATTACACAAGGGAAAAGTATTAGCATACCTCACGTCTGTGGTACTCCACGAGATCCACTCTTGTTGTTCTAATCAAAGGGTGTGTTATATCTAATGATTACTTGCTAAGAGAATGCATGAATGAATTGCTTAAGAGGAAAGAAAAGGGTTTTTATTATTGCGTTCATGAGGGTTTTACAACCTTATGCCTACGTATCCTCGGAAGGAATCAAAACACCATAGTTCTTCTCAAAAAAATCAATTTGTTGTGTATTTTTTATGAGTGATGTTAAGTTTGCATCCTATCCTTTAACGTTGTCGCTCACGCGTTGTTGTATTGCATAGAATGGAATTAACATATTCTTTCTAAAAAAAAGTTAAAGAGAAAAACCCTAAGGTAAATGAGTTTGGATTTGTGAAGTTTTTTTTGTTACATTAGAAAGTGTTTGTGAATTGAATCATATTAAAGTTTAGGAACAAAAGAAATAACAAGGTTAGGAATGTACCGCCTCATTCTTCTCCCATTACTTAATGCTCGTGGCATATGACTCGCCTTTTTATTTATTAAGTGTTTTTGAGTTTGATTAGGAAAAGAAGTTTTAGTTTTAAGAGATGCAAAGCAAAAGAGAAAACAAATTCTAAAGGGGAAACTTGTCCTATTTGTTATCATGCAGTTATGGACCTAGTGTAAGGATTTTAGAAGGGAAATCTACCTAAAATTGTCATGCAAGATGGTCCTAATGTAAGAATAAAAGGGGAATCCTAGCTATGTTGTCATGCTTGGATTAATACCTAAAGTTTATGCTTAATTCTATTTAATTAAAGATCAAAATAGAATTAAAGCAAACCTAAGGGAACATATGAAGCATACAAGCACAAGCAACAAGCCTAAAAAATATTGCATACAATTTATACCATAAATTGCAAACGAGTACATGACATGAAAATGTACAAAACTAGTGATTAAAAATTGACAAAGAGAGTTAAGAAAGGAAAAAAGAAATCTCCTAATTAATTCCTAAAATTATCTCCTAAAATCTAATATTTTTATTATGTATTTTTATTGTCAAAAAATATGAAAAGAAAACTAAAAAAAAGAAATTAAGAAAATTCTATAGTCAGGAGGTGTATGGATAGACTGAAAGTGTGGACTAGAGAAAGGTCTAGACACACTCCAAAAATGCATACACTTTGCAAACAGTCTAGAAAAGTCTTTTTCGTTGTGCAAATTGCTTTAGGCGCCTAAAACAATATTAATAGACTTGAGAGGTGTGTAGCGAATGAAGACCAAGCCCTAGGGAATCAAGCCATGATCCAATCTTAATCCATATTTCCAAGTATCACTCCAATTTTGTTTCAATTTCAACAATTAAAAAGCAAAAAAAAAAATTAAAGAAAACAACACGGTGCGTTTGGGGTTATTGTTAAACCATATGACTCTTCACCTCCTGAAACAAAATTATCTTTTATCTCTCTTTGCTCACTCGTCTATTCTCTGACCTTCAAAACATCATTGCCCCGCCGACACGCCATACGGTGGTGGCAACGGTTTAACGTCTAGAAAAAAAAAATCGATTTACATTACTCTACTCGTGTTCTCCTATCTCAAAATCCGAATCCCTTTTTCCTCTAGTTTCATCTCACGCTTCCATAATTATAGCAAAAAGTGAATCCTAGATCTAAACCTTAGGATTCTCATTCAGCACAGAAAAACGCACGTTATGGTTTTAAGAAACAAGTAAAGAAGTACAGAAGATGCAAGCAGACCCAAACTCGTGGGGCCCATCCGAACCCGAGTCAACAGCTGAAAACCCGAGTTGATTGGATTCGAGTTCGGATGCCACCCGATATTTCGGGTGCGGATTTGGGTTCACTCAAAACCACACTCGAAACCCGAAATCACACCCGCTTAGACATTAATTAATAAGTACCCATAAATATATATAAGTGTAAAAATTTAAGACCTTAATTTTAATTGTAATAAACTTGATGGAAAGTTGTAATTTAATTCCTTAATTTCTTTGAGATACCTTGATGAAATTCTTGTGTTTCAAATTTCAACGTTGATGTTGTATTTTTTGTGTTTTTGCTTCAGGTTTGGGTGGAAAAACCCGAACTCAACAGGTGTGGACGCGAGTGTTATTTTGTCACCCAAATAGTTTTTGGATTTGGGTTCGAGTTCGGGTGGCGATTTCGAATGCGGGTTTGGGTAGTGTGAAACCCGCATCCGACCCGACCCGACCCGTTGCCATCTGTAAGTGTTAAGAAGTGCAGAAGATGCAAAGCTTAATGACTTAACTACCGGAGTAGTTCCGACGGGATGCTGAGCAATTAGGATCTGAAGCTAGAAGCAATGAATCTGAGTGCACCAAAAAGATTTTGTCCGTTGATGCCAAACATCATCATGTATGAACGCACAAGCAGGTTTGTTCCTTCCATGGATCAACCACTCTGAACTTTGCAGGCTCAATGAAAAAATGTATTAGACGGTTAGCAGATATTAGGCTCTTTTCCTTGCATCATTCATAAGTGCCAAGTAACCTCTAATTACGCTGTAACCTTTGGAACGTAATGCGTCTCTTGCAGGTTCAGGTATGCATAAATGCATCAACGTATGTGGGTTAAAGCTCCCATTTGCTAATATGACACACATCTTGCCTTTTACTTGCTCTTCCAGAGGAGGACTCATTAATGCGTTATGAAGCTAATTTATCCGAGGGTAACGAAACATTCATGATTGCAGTTCCGGGTAGGGAAAAGATGGAGGGTAAAAAAGTGTGTTGAAAATAACAATTAAGAGGTTTCAATTCTGGTATGAACAGGTATGTTGTAAATTATTATGTTTTTGTTAGAATTTTGGTTGGTGAATGTTAGTTACAATTATATGAGATTGTTTTTTGTTATTTCTGGTTTTCTTCCCTTTGCTGATTTTCAATACAATGATTTTCTGCATTTTGATAAAATGAGCTAACTTGAACTGATGATTGTAAAGCTTGATTCCTTGTTATGATTTATATTTTTGTTTCGATTTTCTATTAGTCTTTAGTTTCTGTTGACTCAGTCGTGTCCTGCTCAGGTATGTATTTTGTTTTCGATGTGCTATCACATTAGTTTTGATTCGAATTGTTGGCCTGAAGCTGTTTGGAACTGTATACATGACTTTTTGTAGAATTTCGAATCTAAACTATCTTGAGATGCATTAGATGTTTGCACTACATACGTGAACTAGTCCGAACAATTGCCCTGATTTGTTTTAAGTGTTTCTGAATGCAGTGATCTTTAGTGGCACGAATATGATTTTGATTGATATGAAATTGCAGTAGCTTTTATCATTATATGCATGAGGCTTTTCAAATCTGTTTGAGCATGATTGTATGGATCTGGAGGGCTGAATTACATCTGCGCATGTATGTTTGCTTCTGAATTAGATGCGCCATATGTCCCTTGCTCACTGAGTTTGCATGATTATTCTTCTTTTGGCAGATGGAACCATGTTGTAGTTAAGCTTTGCATTGATCCATTGGCTGGTTTAATTTTTCACACAGGTTTAGGTTGAAGTGGAGGGCATATGATGCTTAGCATGGCTGTATGTGTTCAAGCAAGCTCAAGGTTGTTTCACAATTTTGTGATGGTGAGGAACTATTTTCTTACGATTTGGCAGGGCTGCAATGGCACATGGTTATTGTTGTTTGACACTTCTTTCAAATCATTGGATCTTGAACTGATTTTTATGTAGAATTTGGCTCTGTTTTCATGATTGATGTAGGCTGCTTGTAAGTTCCCATGTACACATGTTCATGAATTGATTTTGATTGTCTTTATTTGGTGATAATGTTGACTGTTTGGGAAGATTATGATTGGGTGATGATGGTGAAACAAATTGGTCAGGGAGATTAAGAAAAAGTGGCATGTCGTGAAGATTTAGAAGTTGATAGCTTGGCATGAAAAACTTGAAGTAAATTTATGACACTTGGATGGAGTTTTGGTAGATTTAGGCTTTATGTAGTTTGGATTGTTCTTTTTGTAAAATGCTTTGTAATTTTGTTGAAAGATGTAAAGTGATGGCTTTGGTGACCACGAAGCAAAGTCTTGCAAAGTCATGACATAAAGATGGAAGGCATGGAAAGTTAGTTCTTAGTTTTTTTTTGTATCTCTCTTATTTCCAACCTTTATGTAATGGTAATTGTAGCATGATGTAGCAATGGAGATCTTGTAATGGTCCTTATGCATGTTGCAAGGACTTTTATGAATTCTTTAATGAAATGGTTGTGTATTTGAACTAGTGAATCAACTTGTAGCCTTTTGTTACAAGCTTTTTTCTTCTAATTTCATTTTTAATAGATCTTGCCCTTTGTTCTTGAAGTATCATGATGCACTCTTTTGTTCCTTGTACTTGTGACTTAAACTCCAAGAAATCCACATGAATGTACCTTCCGATCTTTGTTTGAAATTCACAAATGAACCATATGTGTACCCTAATTCCATGTTAAACCTCAAGTCCAAGTCAACTTGTATTTCAAGCAACCAAATCCTTATAGATGAGATTTTAGTCCATAGTTAATATCAAAGCAATTATTAACCAAGGTGACACCACAAGAAGAATGTTTTGATTTGATCCCCATGCCCTAGCTCAATAGGAGAGAATACCACTTGGTCTTGACTTACAAAACAAGTAATCCCTCAAGTGATGATGAAAATTCAAGGTAGCCCTGACATGTTGGTAAGAATCAAAGCCCTAATTCACAGGATCTTTAATTGAAAACCTTGATGAAGCTCTGAGCCTAATGAGTAAGGAACCCTAATTTCCTTGCCTTGGATACACATTGATGAATAAATTCCTTGATGTATTGAGAAGAACCCAAAACTCTAGTCACAAGATCTTCTGTTGAAAGCCTTGATGAAAAACTTAAGCACAAAGCATTAAAAACCCTAATACCTTGATCTTGAAGAATCTTTCCAAGCTCAGTCTCAATGAATGAGAAAACCTTGAGATTGTGATGCAGCTTATGAACTCATCCATATGAAACCCTTCCTTGAAGCCAACATGATTAGGGAAATAAACCCTAATTCATGTGGAGGTGATAGCCAAGGAGGTGGCCTTTGGTACTTATGCTTGCATCTTTTGGATGACTTGTGAACACCCTTCTAAATCCACATGTTTTCGCATGTATTATTACGAAAATAAAATAAATTAAAACCACAAAAGGGTGTCACATCATCATGTAAATGTCATACCAAGCATAGTCCTGCTCCGTAACACGGGTTTCAAAATCACTTAGTACAAAGTCCTTCATGGATAATAATCAATAGAAATATTCGTACTTCTCGCAGCGGAATTCATAGTTTAAAACATCTTATTATAAATACTTCATAAAATCTCATCATACTTCATGATTCATAAATAGAATTTCAAAATAACTCGGGTACCATGAAAGGAACATAGTTCATGATTCGAACGATCCCATCCCCGGTGTTACATATCAGAGTAAGACCCGCTCTACTCAATGAAAAGCAAATAAACACACTCTGAAGCTATCTTCTAATACTTCGCCGGGCTAATCCTGATCACCTGCAAGTTACCCACGGATAAAGGCAACATTTTCAAGCAAAAAAGATGAGTAAATCATAATCATTATAAAAGACATAAGGAATAGACATATTATATATGCACATAGGTAAGGCATCACACATCATAAGAACCTCATGTTATACTCACACCTTCACAAACGTCATCAATTCACAATAACATATTATCAAAATACCATTTATCAACAAATACCATTTAATCACATTATTATGCAATGTCACATAAAATGTAATCCATCACTGTAGACTCATGCATGTGGTACCGAAACTTCATTGATGACTCAGTCATTGTTATCTCCAAAGATCCCCACCAATAGGATCGATTCTCGCTTGGAACCAGAGCGCTTCACAATTTTGGACTCAATCCACACTATGGGATTGATGCCTTCACTAGACAATTGTCCTATCATCTTAACTAGACCGAAGTCCTAACATCACTGGACCGAAGTCCTAAAATATGCCATGAATGCATGATGTGCAACAACATAATAAAAACGACCACGGCTAGTCAAAATGCATCATCATTCATGATTTCATCATAATATCATCATATCATCTCAAGTAAACAATCATCAACATAATATCATCATATCATCTTAAACAAAACAAGCATCATCATCATATCATCTTAAATAAACAAACATCATCAACATATCGTCTTAAATAAACAAACATCGTTATAATCCAACACGGGGAACCTAACTTCATCCTAGTTTAAATATTGGGGAAATACTTTTTATCTCATTTTATTTTGTCTAACTAAACTTCATTGCATTAAATATCCAATGCTTTGAACGATACCTCAATTCGAGACCTAAAACTTGGGTTACTTCTCTTTTAAGAAAATCCAAACAGCCAATCGAATATGGACACCATCGCCCGACGACATACCTTCATCGCATGTCGACGCTTCCATCACCACTTGCTTCGCCCAGTGACGCTTGGAGCGATGTACTCCAGTAACTTCACTCTTTTTTACCCTCTGTTGCTTCTATCTTCGCCTGGCGACGACCACGCGATAACACCATCGGCCGACGATCATCCTCATTGTCCGATGATGCAGCGCAAACAAGGTTTTCCTGTTGTAATTTCCTGCATAAAAACAAGTCCGAATCTTGAAATTTATGCACCTTATAGGTCTTAAAACATCATCTAATCATAGGGTTTTCACCAAATAACAACAATCCAATGTATTCTACATTATGGATACAATTTGTTTACAATCCAATATCATAAAACATTGTCTAATTCATCTTATCATCACATATTCATCACAACCAAAACCCATCATAATCTACATCTATCTAAACCTTAAATCGATTATAATAATCAAGATAAACACCTCTTACCTTGAGATTATTGCTAGCAATCAAATGCTCCCTGTGCTCTACTGAGATTCCTATGCTTCTTCTTGCCTCTTTGTGCCCTAGGTCTCTTTCCCCATAGCGTTCTTCTAATTCTACGATCGCACAAAATGATCATATAAACTCTACCAACATTTCCTTATATCAAATTGACCCTCTTAGACCCCTAATAATGAACTTCCCATCATGTCCTCACTTATCCTTCACTAATGACCCCTATTTTTCTCTACACCACCATTCTATTTATTTAAATCCAAATCGTTCTAAATAATTACTATTAGCATCTAAATAAGTCCGAAATATTTTTTTAAATCCTAAACACATCTTGTTATCTCATTGTTCACCTTTATACCATCAAATACCACATAAGTCATCATTATAAACATCATACTCATCAAGTCATCTCTATTGCATCGCAAATGCATCACGAATACACATCATAAACCGTCACAAGGATTCACACAGAGCACCAAAACATTATACATACCAAACACTTCACAATAACTCATATATTCACGCTAAATTAATTAAATAATAATTAATCTAGAATTTGAGGTGTTACAACTCTCCCCCACTTAAAAGAATTTTCGCCCTCGAAAATTACCTGGCAGAAACAAATTCGAATAAGAATCTCTCGTTTGATCCTCACATTCCTAAGTCCAACTCTCACCGGCTGATCCTCCCTACAATACCTTCACTAAGGCGATGTATTTGCCTCGTAATTGCTTCACTTTTCGACCTTCCAATCGCAATGGTAATGCTTCAACAGCCAGGTTCTCTCTCACTTGTACATCATCTATTTGAATCACATGCGACGGGTCTGGAATATAGTTTCTCAACTGAGACACATGAAACACATCATGTAGATTCGCGAGTGATGGAGGCAAAGTAATCTGATAAGCCGCCTCACTTATCTTCTCTGATATCTAATACGGACCAACAAGACGTCGTGTAAGTTTTCTCGACTTCAACGCCCTACCTACACTGGTTACCAGAGTAACTCTCTAAAGCACACGATCCTCTACTTGAAACTCGAGATCCTTTCTCCTCTTATCCTGATAGCTCTTCTGACGACTCTGAGAAGCTTTGATTTTCTCTTGGATCATCTTTATCTTTCCAGTTGTCTATTGTACAACTTCAAGCCCGAGTACAGCGTTTTCGCCCGACTCATACCAACATAATAGAGTCCTACACCTCTTGCCATACAACGCTTCATCCGGCGTCATCCCAATACTAGAATAGAAACTGTTATTATAAGTAAAATCAATCAATGACAAGTGACTATCCAAAGCTCCTCCTTGTTCTAGCATGCAAGTCCTCAGCAAATCCTCCAAGAACTGGATATTTCTTTCCGTCTGACCATCCGTCTGAGGATGATATGTGGAACTCAACCTCAACTTAGTACCAAAGACATTCTGCAAACCTGTCCAAAACTTTGACGCAAACCTCTGATCTCTATATGACACGATACTCGAAGGTATCCCATACAATTTCATAATTTATCCAATGTACAACTCATCTAATTTCTCCATATGATGATTAATCTTCCTCGGTAAGAAATGAGCCGACTTATTCAACCTATCCACAATCACCCAATTCGAATCATTGTCCTTAGCAGTCTTTGGAAAACCTGGCACAAAATCCATGGAAACACTGTCCCATTTCCACTCTAGAATACTCAAAGGTTACATTAGACCCATAGGCTTATGATGCTTAACCTTCGACTTCTAACAAGTCAAGCAAGCATAGACAAACTTGGCAAATTCCATCTTCATACCAGGCCACCTGAATAACTTCTTCATGTCCTGATACATCTTTGTAGCACCAGGATGAATACTCAACCCACTTCCTTGTCCTTCCTCAAGAATACTCTTCTTAAGCTCTGGAACATCTAGAACACACATTCTATCACGAAACCTCATCACACCATTCTCATCAATCCTGAACTTATCTCATTTGCCTTGGTTAATCAAATTTAATTGATCGACTAACC